AAGTAGTGTTTTAGCTGACAAGAAGTGTAAACAGCTTTGTCAGAATCGCATTCCTATAAGCCTGCTCCCCTAGTTACCTGAAACTAGGGAGAAAGGAAAATCTAACATCTTTCAGTACCAAGAAGTGACTGCATCAAATCCACGAACACCAGAGAAACTGCTCACGACATATCTTTGGCAAAGTAGGGTATAGGCCTTAGAAAAATATCTGTCCAGTGCAACAGGGAAATGAATAAGAAAAAAAGCAACAGAATTTGACGTCAATGCAAAGAAGAAATTTGATTTTTTCTGGTAGGCAGCAAGCTAACACTTGCAAGCTAACTGGTGCTCAGAATTGTTTCAACCTAAGAATTGATATTGCACTCAAGTTCTCACCAAGTACGTCTAATTTCCCGGTCTCTAGTTATTTTAACAGGAGGACATCAATAGTTTCTCCCTCAGACTGCTATAGAGGAGTCTTTTTCCCCCCATCAGGCCATGCAGCTCTTTCCTAAGCTCTTTCCTTGGAGAGTTTCAGCTTCAGCAAGGATGGTTTTGCACAGCCCCAGCTTTAAGGGTAATGACACAACACAAAAATATACAACTGTCTAAGCAAGCCTTTTAATGGGAAGATGATTTTATGCTGATACGAGATAAAGCCCTAAACAGTCCAAGTTCCTAAACAGTCCAGATTTTCAATTTAGTTCGTTATGCCTCTGAAGCAATGCAGGTGGTGTTAACAACATAAGAGTCTCCTGACATTAAAACAATCATGAAAATTGCTATTAACTACTACTCATTAACAGAAGAAGCATATAAAGGTCTAAAAAGGTAGAGAACAAATGTGTGTAACAATGATTGGAACTGAACTGCCAGTTCAGTGATCACAGCTACATATATCTTCAAGTAATACATAAAATAACTTATTTAAACTCTCAAATTTTTATCTTTACTCAACTTTCAGTTCACCAACACAATACTCAGATTTTTTTAACATGAAAGAGGCAAAAAGTGTAGTTTAACAGCTTAAAAATACATCACTTATATAGCAAAAACAGATAAACCTCACTAAAAAGGTTATTAGTTCCCACTTATTTTTATTCAATATTTTCCTACTATGTTTCTGAAAATGGTAGTATGGAAATCAAACAGCTTATTCTGGAATGTATTCCCAAATGTTTTAGTGTGTTATTATCATTATTTCCATACTACTATTTGCTGTAGAGAAATAATGGATTTCACATTATTGTAAGCATAAAAATGAAATCATAAAGAAAAATAGGGCACACCCCAGGGGGAGGGGGGAGTTGCTTATTGAGTTTACTTCTCTGAAGCCATCAAAGGCTTGATCGTAGGAGCAGACTATAAAGATTATAATTTTATGACTCTTTATGAGACAGTCACAGCCTCTGCCTCAAGAGATCTCCATAAAATGGATTCTCATAATGCTCTTCTTATCTAGCAGGTCGTAGACGCACATGAGAAGTAGTATGGACATTATGGCAACCATAAACTGCATATGAACATGTATACACAGTCTGCAAAGTCAAGAATGCTCCAGTTACTTCATAAGCTTTTCAATAAAAGTGAAAGGGATACGAAAATAATTCATTGACATAGGGCATGGGTAAGGTGCTTCCCTCTCTCAGCTGTGTAGGATTAACAACTCCATGCTTATTAAAACACTTAATGGTATTTATGTTACTGCAGTGCCTAGAGGCCCTAATTGAGACTGAGAGCCCTCCTGAGTGGTGTATTAGAAAATCATTATCACATAGACTCATAAAAAGAGAATTTCCTTTTCAGTATATATATTTCTTTAAACATACCCTTTGTTTAAGTCAAATTACTACTTTTGTAAGGTAGTACTTTACTGCAGGTTTTGCTGTTTAGCTCATATTCATTCTGAATGTTAGACAGAAGGACAACCTTACTGCATATATTTACATAAATGACAAAAATCTATCTGCTCAGACAAACATTTTCATCCTAAAATGGCATTAAAACCGAAGGAAGAGAATATTAGCTTTTCTCTGAAAGCATGGTAAGCTTATGATGCTTAAATACATACAGAATACACTAAATCTAGCTCTATGATCATGCAATATCCTGACAACACTTGCTGGTCACATATCTTGCTATCACATATCTTTCACAAGCATTAAATTACCCTATACATGCACTGAGGATGCTCCTAGGTGCCTGAGCAAATGGTCTCTTTACATTTCCAGAGTGCATTTGTTCCTAACAGAAGCAGCAAGGACATCTTCCAAGTGCATCAGACCTCCTGTGCCTACAATGAACAGCTGTACTGGTCTGAAAGAAAGACAACCAATCTTTGAGGCACCAGAGAACTAGTCAAGAAAGCAACAGTTAAGGAAAGTAATTTGTTCAAACTGGAGAACTACCACAGCTTTCTTTTTTTTTTTTTTTTTTTTTCCCAGAAAAACTGTTGTGTTTTCAGAAACATTCTGTGTGGATACGAGCAAAATTGCAAAGACTTGAGAAAAAGCTGTAGGAAAGTTGGAGGTACATCCACTCCTTGGATGAGGAATTTAGCTATGTGTACAAGAAATGGGAAAGTGCTGAAAGTTTTTAATTATCCTTTGAATATAGTGATCCAAAAGACTAACTAAGCACACGGCCATGTGTACACATAAAAGTATATATACGTGTATGTTAATAGAATCATATGTAAACCAAGAAGCAAGTGTTACTCCTGCAGGATAAAAAGGACATCACATCAAAAGTGAACAATGGGAAATACTAGAATCTACCATTATTCTAATAAGAGCCCAAACTGTAAACCAGACCCATTTTCTCCCTGGGAGCAAACTATAACTTCTGGAAAGGAGATAATCATAAGTGAGAGTAGTTTTTGACAATAAAGGCTGTAGTGGGATTTCTGAAAACTCAAGATGCTAGAAATACAACAGAGTTGATGTATTGGCCATCTGCCTTTCTCCACACAGGCACACTATCAATCAGTAACTCCAGATGAGTATCCAAGATTATTAGTAAACCAAAGGCTGCTGAAGTCTTCTCAGTGTCTACTCATAAGGATACGAATTTCAAAACAATGCAGGTCAGAACTTATTTGGATTACCTCCCCATTTCTCTCAATATCTCCAACCATCACATATTCACACTTCTTTTCAAACATTTGTCTTTCAACCATGTCTCTACCCTTAGTCAACTACACAAATGAGAGATCTTGCACTGTTCCTAGTGCGTAGCTCTGAAACACAAATGCCACAGACTTCTCCCATTCCTTTCTGGCGAGTGTGTGCAACACATGCACTCACACACATTCACGTATCCATGTTATATATAAACATATCCTTGTATCTGTATATGAACATTGCACACGTATGTGTATTTATCAACACCTGTATAAAAAAAAAGCCCTTTTTTGTCTAGAATCCTTTCTCTTCATCCTTCACAGAAGGAAAAACCCAATCTATTAGTAGTACACCTGTGGGAATTCTGATTCTATAATTGCAAAGTAATCTGGGCTGAATTATCAGGCTCTAAACATTCCTACTAAGATCAAACTACTGAATGTTAAAAATGACATCAAACAGAAATTGCATACATTTCTTAGAGGTTAATTGAAACAGATGTTTAAATAATATATTTCTAAACAAACAATTTTAGGTATAAACCTTAGAATAATTTCCTTTCTTTTTCATTTTTTTTCTAATGACATTGAAATATTTTTTCCAAACTTCAAAAGCTGTACTTCATATTTATCTTTTTTGTTTTTCACTACCTTGCCCTTCTGGGATCATTTGCTCTATTTTACATTTAATATTTGCTTGATGAAAGCTATCACAACTCTTCAGAGTGTTTTTTTTTTAATCTATTTTAAAAACATTAAGCACTTATTGGTACTAAATAGAAAACACTAACTCCCCTCGCAGATTTCTAGTCTGCATAAAGCAGAGTATGGGTAAAACTACTTAATCAGATGTTGTATTTTCACATGCTCTGAGATTTTGTGACAAAACACACCATTCACGATCCAGTAAGTTTTCAACAACCCAGAGCATGTTGGCATTGCAGTTCACAGGCTTAACTACAGCTACTGAGCCTGCTGGGGACCTGAAATCATCTACCTGCCAAGGATACTCTCACTGTGCTCCATGTGGTGATGGTCACAGGCAGCCAGGACTCACCGTGTTGCTCATGCAGCATGTTCATACAGAACAGTCCGAAACTGGACTGTAAAACACTAGTTGCACCTTCCTGTAGTTTCCTTCTCATTTTAGTGACAGATATTCAGCACAACTAATACTGTCATAATTCCTTTACATTTGAGCCCTGCTTCCTCACCAGCTTTTTGCTTTATCACTTTTTTATTTAAACATTTCCTCAAATTATTTTCAATAGTTTAATATTAGAGTTGAATAATCTGTTCCAACAAATCATTTCTGCAATATCTCTGCTTTATACACTTGAAGAAAAACAGATCTTCAGTCAGATTCCCTATTTTCTGTCTCAGGAAAGTCCTTACCAGACTGCAAGGCTTCACTTTTTCTTTAAGGAAGAAGCTAGATACGGAGATAAGAGAGACAAAAGGTCTGCCCTCATGCATGAAAACCAGAAAATCTAAAACACGAGTACAGCAATTCTAGAATTAGAGAATTATCAGTACACGTATTAACATAAATGAATATTTTATACAAGAAAAAAAATACTTTGAATTTTTCTTCAATAAATCACCTTGTTTGTTACATACCCAAGAACTTTTTGTTAGGATCTACAGCTTAATTTCTCTACTGTAAAGCAATCTGAAAATGTAAACTTTAAGAAGCTACTTACTGAAAATTTGCTACTTTAACTGATACAGGAATGTGAGGAAGTTGAGCAGCCCATTTCAGCGTCACATCTTGATAAACATGCAACATGCTACTATGGTTTCCAACAAGGGTGTTTATTGTTCCTTCTGTCACTGTTAAAGACATAAAAGCCATTTTCAGATGAAAGATACCTTCATAAGTTGATATTTTTCTTTGAGGCTTGTATTATTATAATTTTTCTTTTTCCATTAATTTGTTAATTAGCATATGTGAATACATCTCTCTATATAAATACATATCTACACAGACAGTTTTTTAGAGAATTTTGAAAGGTCAAAGGGACCTACAAAGTGATCTTCTACATATCAAAACACTATTTAAGTGTTATGAACACCTAAACCAATTTAAACATAATTAAAACACGAAAAATCAAAAGGCAGTACTTTGGAGTTGGCTGACACGCTCTCTTTCCTTTCTGAGATAAACTGATGGAATTCCATAAACTGATGAAATGAGAGGCAAATCAAGAAAAACAGACTGAAAAGCAGTGGGAGAACAAGAGGGAATAAGGAGGCAGGTGAAGGCACCAGGGTGGGGCCCTGCTCGCGGGGAAAATCATGTTTAGACAGACCCTGAGAACAGACATCTAGATGGTACTGACAGAAATGACCTTGCTACAGGAACACAGGAACAGAAACAGCTCTCAAATACTGCAGGAGATGTCCTAAAAGAGGTCTATGTTTTCCTTCTGTTGCATAATTCATAATTCTACCTCCTTTCAATAATGCTTCATAAAAATATTGAAAAAGCTTTGGAGAAATGTAAAGAAAAATTTCTTTCTAACCTCAAAGGCTTTAAATAATCTACAAGATTTTGATAATTTTATCACTCCTAACATGTCTTTTTAAACTCTGCTTACTCTCAGGCCTATCTGCCCGGTCTACCCCTCAGAAAGTGTATAAAAATACACTTTTTATTAAGTTTTAAATCAGAATGTAAATCTAAAAATACGATCCTGGCAACTTTTAGACAAAAACATCAAGCATTAAAATTCTATACTACCGGAGAGAAAACTAACTTCTTTTTATCAGTAAATGACAGAAGCATCTCAAATACTAATTTACTTGCCCAAAGCCGCTCGCTCTTGAATGCTTCTTACTTTTAAGGCCTGAGCAAATTTACTCAGCTGCCTCAAGAGGTATCAAAATATAGGCAAGGATATGCTATTAGGATGAAAAATCCTGATTTAAGTTCTAAAATTTATGATACTTCACACTCACTATGTAATATTTGAAAAGAAGCAATTTCACAAGTTTTCTATCAACAGCATCTTAAGAATATATTTATTCAGGGGAAAAAATCATCTTAGTTGTAAAAACATCTTAAATAAAGCTTTTTAGTTCAATTTTCATTTACAAACCTGAGCAATAAGGAATGAAACAACTTGGGTTGCAATCAAGCTTTTTCATGAATCGGATTTGCCCATTATCCTTAAGGCAAAAGAAGTTTCTCTCACCAAGCACAAAAACCGAAGAAACCGCCTGGTTAAAGGACACAACACATATATCCAGTGCTTGCTCTCCGATGTTTAAAACCCAATCCACCTTCAAAAGAAAAAACACAATCTAGAGACCATCTGACATTTGTCATTAAATAAAACACAGAGAAAGTTCAGAATTCAAATTTTTTAAAAAAGGTATTTTTGGAAAAAAAAAATTCTAGCTACCCACTTATTTTGAAAGCAGTTGTGATTTTCCTTGTTGTGCAAAAAACTGTAAAAATATCAAAACACTTTTTGAAATAGTCATTAATTAATGACTATACTTCAACTTAAAAATATATTAAAGTATACTTCAAAATACACATTCCATTCAACAGAAAAAATGGTTTATACTCTGAATATTAAATCCACAAAATCATTTACATCTGCCTCTGCACATGTTCCTTGATAGAAAGGGCAGACAGTAAGCAAAACTTACTCTACCAACATATGCAATTCTACCAATTCTTTCCCAATGTATCTAATTGGAAAAAGTAGACTGGATTTCAGGTTCACAAACCAATCTTCACGATTGCAGTCACTAATATACATTTTCAGTCTTAAGAATAGTTGCGTGTGTGCGACATTTTAGGTGCAGATTTTCCCATTAAAGAACAAAGGATTCTCTAAGTGCAATAAAGTTTATTTTGTAAATGCAATACAGTCACAAACAGACTGTCAAACTCAAAACGAGCAATATGGCAGATATACCTATTACACTAGAGTTTGCAACCCATATTACAAAGACTAACACAGATATAGCCAATTTTAGAACATAATCTTCTTCTTTTCATAGAACAGCAGGGAATTTTAAGGCCCAGCCTGAAGCAATTTGAGCTCGAAGAAATCCTAACAAAAATCTACTAGAGTCATTCCATTGCCTTTAATGGAAGTTGGATCAGGTCCTTTGTCAGCAGACAATTTTTCCATTTGTTACTTAGCATTCAATCTTTTTAATACAAATGCAATGTACCATACAGGTTATGTAAAATAAACAGGTTTTACCACGAGTCTTTTTCCAGAACCAAGTTTTTGTTGTTCTGTTTCTTGTCTTTCATCAGCATCTGTTGCAAATGCCAGCACTTGGTATCTGATATGGAAAATTAAAAAGGAAAGATAGCAAATATCTTTGCAATTAATGCCTTTTAAAATAATAAAAAAAAAGTAAAATATAATAGTCAAACTAGGCATATGCCTGTATTGGAATATACTTATTAACAGTAAGTATTTTTAAATGAGTATCATTAAAATAAGAGTTAAATGAAAAGAGAATTTAAAACACTTCATTTGAATTTTTATCAGATGCTTAACAAAAAAAGTAATATTTACATATATTAAAGAATACAGACTAACGATGAGATTGAGTCAGGTTACCAACATATTTTCACAATGTAAAATTAGGACATAGACAAAAATGTAATGTCACTTTGTATAAAAAAAAGAAATTTATAAGCTACTCAAAAATATACCCCTTCTATTTATAACGCTTACAATTTCAAATATGCCCATTAAGTAAACTAAGCAGTTCTAATGCAAGAGATAGCTGTAAATTGGCACTGGTAGGTGGTACATCTCTCTCAAATACACTTGGAAAATAAACAAAAGTTGCGATGTTTTTCTTTGCAACTGCCAGCCTGGTGTACTAACTAAAAGTTGGCAATGACACCCCTAGAACAAAAAAATGTTATCTGTAACTCTTATTTCTTCTACTGAACTTGCACTGGTGTTATAACTTATTGAACTAACTTGTTTCCAATGAAGTTACATTAGGTGATAATGTGCAAAATATCAAAAAAAAAAAATCATACACACATGGGAAATTTACGAACACAAAATATTTTCATTCTTAAAACGTTTTATCCAGAAGGTCACAGGGTACCTTCAGCTCCTAAGCTCAAAACAACAAAATTCAGAATTTTTAAATTACAATAAGCTTACGAAAAAATGAAAAATATATTTTTCATATTATCCAAGTTATATATTTAAACAGATGACATACAATCCTCATATCTCAGGAATATCTACTGTAGTGCTGGTTAGTAATGTATTTCATTTAGTTCAGTTCTCGTATTACTCTGCTTAAAAACAACATTATAAACTATGGACTTGCAGTAAGTGATATAACTGATAACATGACTACTATGACCTCATTAAAAATACAAAATAAATTGCTTATAGAAACAAAGATTGCCCTTTTAATAGCTTCATGCACAAATTCACTTGCATGTTGTAATTTAAAAGAATTTATAAGTTTCAGATGCTGATGTAAGAAATTTTTCTCTTTTCCTCTTAAGGATGAAAAGGTCCTTTCTTCTTAAGGACACTAGACTGTTCTTAAAAATGGCTTAGATTATGTCAGTACTGTAAGCAATAATAAATATTACTGCAAAAAGTATATTTTGATCTGCCAGTGATCTAAAAATTTGAAGACAATAGATTATTCTTAATCTTAAAACAGTGGTCAGTGTAAAAAAAAAAAAAAAAAAAAAAAAATCATGGTTAACGGATTTGGCGTATCACTTGGCCACTCCTAAAGACTAGAAATAACTTAGACACCAGGAAGAAGATCAGTGACAACTGCACTCGCTCACAGTAAAAGCACAATACTTCTGGACCTGAAATAAATGTATTCATTTATTTAAAAATATCTGCTGCTCATGGCATAACTGGATGTATATAAATAAAAAGTCAGAGAAGATTGTGAAGATGAAGTTTCTGCAACATCAAGGCATGGGGAGATCAAGTAGAGGACTCTGGGGATTCAGAGGAAAGAAAGACGAGATGTTGAAGGATTCCTTTAAGGAAGACAAAACCTCAGTTCAGCGTGTGTGCTTCCCAAGTTCTCTGTTGTTCAATTGCAGAGGAGTTGCCAGGTTTAACAATTGTTTTTAATGTGGAAGATATTCCCAACAGAAAAATGAACTGAAAATATTTACCATCAGAGCTTCATAAGCCATATGAGCCCAAAGAGCAAGTATGGCTCGAAGCTAACAATAAAAATACAATTTATTTTATCCAACCACTCTGCTAGGCAAATAGAGAGGGGCTAGTCACGGTTTTGTCCTGCTATCAGACCAAAAATGGCAAGTGGGTACATTAGATGTTTGAAATTAAATATATTCCATGCCCACTTGCAAATAGGAGCATGGAAGTCTCATGTATCCTCGGTCAAATAGCAAAGTGAAGCTTTGCACAAAAGAAAAGTTCCTTATGAGGAGACCAATAAGTGGGCCAAGCAGTGTTCCAGCTGTACGGGAGGGAGAAAAAAAAAAGGGGGAAGGTGGGGAGAGGGAGGGAGAAAATGCTCAAAACAGACAGGAAAAACTTTGTTGCCACTTTTAGATTTACTTTGGAAAGCACCGAAATACTGGTTTGTGATTCTCAGTTGGATTTCACTACAATGTACCCAATTTATCTGGCTCATAACATCCCAGCAACTCAACCTTGAGATAATACATCTCTTATAAAAGGAAAAACAAAAACAAAAACAAAAAGCCTACCATTACGTCTTACCTAACTGGTTAGTTCTGAATCACTCTGCAAAGGGGCTAATGTTTCCCAGTATTAAGTGTCAATGTTTCTAAGCCTTCTCATCATATAAATAAACAAACCTCTCATGTATACAACAATGTTAAACGTAACATTCAAGCATGTTCAAACATCAATTATTTGATGACAAGTCCAGGTTATGGATTCTGTTTTCAACTGGCTTCAGCATCCAGAATCACAAGTTCTTGGGAGGTGATGGGATGCAGAACAAGCTTTCAACCATGAAATGCCTGGCTTGATGGACAAGAGAGAGCAGTGTATGTTGTTCATCTCTGCTTCAGTGAGGCTTTTGATTCCTTACAGCAAGTCTGGGCTATGTAAATGGATAGTGAGGTAGACTGAAAAGTGGTTGAACAGCCAGGTGCAGGTAAGTGATCAGAGGCACAAAGTCCACCTGGAGAGCAGTCACCAGCAGTGTAGCCCAGGGTTTAATACCTTCATTAATGACCTGGACGATGGGATAGAGTGACCCCTCCAGAAGATTGCAGACAATACAAAACCGGAGGAGAGGCAGATACACCAGAGGGTTGTATTGAGGGACCTCCACAGACTGGAAAAATGGACTGAGAGGAACTTTGTGAAGTTCACCAGATGGAACAAGCTGACTGTGAGTCAGCTTGCCATCATTGGCTCTCATGGCAAGGAAGAGCAACATCATTCTGGGCTGCATTGCCCACAGATAGTGGAAGGAGATCCCTCCCTTCTGCTCAGTGCTCGTGAGAGGCTGTATGAGTTGCTGGCTCCAGTTCTGGGCTCTGCTTAGCTCTGATCATCTTTGTGTTTTGACAGATCTCTGCCTATTTGAATCTTTGACAACTACCTAAAACAATTCACAAAGATCGCCTGTCAGTTGCGAGACTAATGAACATCTACGAAGTTATTTCCATTAAAAAAAAAGTATGGAACTGAAAATAAAGGACATTTGGGATTCACATATTTCGTTATTGCACTTTTAAGATTATTAAAGTATCTATTTCAATCTTAAACAGACCAGGAGATATTTCAAGCTGTGGACCATCACTCTGTAAGCCTAGCAGTTCTACCACTTTTTGTTCCATCTTATAGTTCTTAATTCTCTTTATTTGCTGATCTTTAGCTCCCTCAGCATCTTAATTGCATCTGCCAAGTCTTTCTTATTTACAAGCTGTGGATTCAGCAAAACATCTTGTCTAGCGAGGCTAACAAGCTCTTGCTTCCTTTTCCATGATGCACCACAGAATGCTCAAGTCCAGCACGTCATCCCCCAAGCAAATACCAGTCCTCCACAAGAGCAAATGCCTGCAGTTGAAAGACTTCTACACATTTAACGAAGGCTTCACAGTGTGTGTTTACCACAACATCCCTTTCATTGTGCATCTACCCGACTGTGGTCCTGACCTCTCAACAAGCTGGTCTTCTGCTCTGTTGCTCCTCCTCTTTGCCCAGACTGTAGATGTTTGCCAACACCTCCAAATGGACCCCCAGGCATCCCATACTAAGGGAGTACGACAGCATTCTCCACATGCACTTTTACCCATGTTATTAAAATGCAGGATTTTGTACTTAACCCTCAGTAAAGTGCCCGACTAGCTGGGCAAGCCTCCTCCCTCACTTCATCAAGTGGCTGACATCTCTCCCCACCAGCTCTCATTCCCTGAGGATGATCCTGTGATCATAAAAGCCAAAGAATTGTCAGTCACTTTTAACCTGATTCAATATTTTCCTGAAAACCAGACTCGTCAGACTAACATTTATTTGCATCAAAATAAAAATGATGTTGAAACAATTGGAAGGAACATCTCCTTACTTGAGCTGTCTAATGCAGATAAAATTGAAAACACACACAAAACTGAACTACACTGAAGCATGGGAAAGTCTGGCACCTGCACGACAATATGATATGCTTTGTGCTTTTGATTAGTTAATAAACTTAGTAAATAAAACATTTTTCTACCACTTAAATATGGCCATAAAAACAGGACACACAGTATGTTTTATTCCACAGCTGTACACAGCTATTATTACACTCAACTTAAAACATACTATTTTTCATCTTTCTTGCATCCACCTGTCACCTGCTTTGGGAAATAATCTTAGTAAAGGCAATAAAAAATAGATATGATTATCATCACATTTGCTTGCCTTCTACTTGACATCACCAAAACATACAATAGCTACTTAACAGAAACACATACTTGTAACTCTCAACCTGGCGACATGAAGACACTGTAATGAAAGAATCTGTCCGAGAACTGTAAGTTAAAGGACCAGGTAGAAGAAAACCAGGTAAAAATCGTCCGAAAGCATAACTTTCCTGCTCAAATAACATGAGCATCCCATCCATGGACTGTATACATATCAAGTCTCGACCTGAAAACAAAGAAAACAAAACAATTTGACATACTATTAATCTTAAAGTTATTAACTCATAAATTACTTAGAAAAACACAAATACAGTTATTTCATGTAAGTGTTTACTATGGGAAAGAACCCAAAGCATTCCAATCTTCACAAAAAATTTATTTATTAAAAAAGAACAAAGCTCAATAGCTAGATTTTTTTCTTAACATCCACAAGATATTAATTGGAAAAAACTGAGAATATTTCATTTCAAACCAAAATTCCTGAAGACATAAACCATTACAGTTTAAAGAAATGTTTGAATATTCCTGTAAAAGTAAAATTAATCTGGTTCTTAAACCAAAACAAGTTCTTAAAACCCCTCTATCTTAAAAGCAGCCATAAGAACTTTAATCTAGAAATTATTTAGAAATAATTTAGAAATATTTAGAAATATTCCACCTATTCCACATTTTCAGGTTTAGCTAAACAATATAATAAAAGACATAATACATAATATTAATAGTATTCATAATCATGCCATAACCAATAATAATCATAATCAATAAGTTTTCCATGCTTTATATTCATATTTTATATCTTTAAGCAATGATAAAAATAACCTCTATGATCAGTTTGTTACCCACACTACTAAAAATTGAATTTAAAAGATATCCCTTAGTAGTAAATGACTTCAAGTGCCTCCGAGCCCTGCAACTCCACAATTCAACACCTTCAAGATACGACTTGCTGCATCTCGACTACCCAAACCAAATCAAAGTTTCATTTTGAAATCTTCAGAGATTGTGGGTTCTACATTTCATATACTATGGCATTAATTCAAATCTAAACAAGTTTTGCATGTATTTATAAGACGAAAGCTGCAACAAGAAGATGCAAACACATTCTGAAGTTGATGGAAATACCTCCTCTAAATTTAGAGATAAAGATGTATTTTGGAAACATAGTATAGCAATCTGTGGAATTTAATTGAAGTCTAATTCTCTGCATTAAAGCACTACTGTGATTCTTCATAGTAATTGTAAGCATCAACAGCAATTAAAAAAAAATGCATATATATCTCTCACCATGATAGGTCTCACGGCACATTGCATTATTTGTCCTTGTGATTAAACATAGGATAAAGATTTGACTTAAGAGTAAAATATAGAATTCTAACACAAGCAACAAATTTGTGTAAGGTGACAGGAAGGCAAAGCACCAAAGGCATTTTCGCTGGCACCTCCTCCCTGTTGAGATTTTTCCCATTTTTCAAACATTATCAAGTTCACCACCTCTTCTTTCCAGACTCTATATAGTTACTGCATATCCTACAAACCCTCTTGCAAGTATCAGCTATTTAGTGAGGTGGATATTTGAAAAGGTAATTTATGTTGTTACTTGGCAGAGGCTAAATTCAATTTCTCTAGCAAAAGAAAAAAAAATTACTTTAGTTCTTCATGCCAATGATGATATATATACACCAGCAAAACAACAGTGCAATTTTAGGAATGCTCTTGTGGGCATTTTCACCACAATCACATCTCCTGCCTCTTTCCTTAGGTCTATACAGACCTTTCCTGAAAACCACTAAATTACATATCATTCTTATTTAACAAAGTTTTGTTGTTTTGTACCTTAAATCTGCTAAAGCACATATATTTTGCAGGATAATGTTACTAGCTGCTGATATCAAATACGTCTTTCTTTAATAAACTAGAAATAGAACTTTCATTCAACAAATATGTAATTTATAGAAAAGAATTTCTATCAACATGGGAAAAATTCTATTTACCATACTAACCACAAAATAAAGTACTCCATTAATCAAGAATCATTGGTGGCTTTGAATAAAAAATCAACTGATAGACTAAAGCTTCGAGTAAAACCCTTAGCTGAGAAAACTGTGAAAAGAAATCTTCTTAAATCATACTAGAATCTGTACTGATCAAACAATGCTCTGTAGAAAAGCAATTCAACATGAAATCCCTTTGAGTACTGTTTAATAGCTCTAAGACTGAAATTTTGCCTGCTACTGAAGCCAGCAAATACTGCATCTTTGGTTTTCTTTACTGCTGCAAGTGAGAAAGTTTAAATACACCATTTTTTACCAGCAGCTCTTTAAGCTATTGGCAATTTGTCACCAGCAACTTCAATTTGATGATTAAGTCTCACAATTTAATCTATAATGTTTTGAAGCTTGACATTTCCAAATAGCAGTACTTTTAAAACATTTCCTCTTCCATGTGTAGACTGAAGTCATACATCCTTCTAGGAAATGGAAACTCTTTACCTCTGCTAACAGCATAAAGTCAATGAACAAATGTTTCCTGCAACTAAACCCAATAATTTTAAGAGAATTATGGCTTTGACATATAGATTCCCCCAAAACGTTTTCTAAACAGACAGATTGTTTTAGAGTTATGATTTTCCTACAGCTTTCTACAGACTTTTTAAATTACAAAGCAGGGCCTATGGCTTCTGTTCCATCTTAAATTTTATTGTTTATAAGATTAAAAACATATTCCACATTATACAAACACATCAGATAGGCACATATACACACACGCCTCGTATGTGGATAGCTAATAAGTTTCCACTCAAATTTGTATAAAGCAGCTTTAATAAAAATAAGTGTTATTTAACCTTTCAAGTATTATTTATATAGCACGAAGATCCAGCATTGTTTGATTTATTTGTAACTTAGAGCTGATGTTCTATAGCTGAAGTCTGTGTATTCAAGAGGCTAAAGCATCTACTGATCAGTCAGGATGAACATTTGGGTTGCTGCTTATATCGAGCCAAAAACTTTGCAATGACTTTACCAACATAAGATTCAGAAATTAGGCAGTGAAAATAATCAGTAAGTACCTTAGACAGGCTTCAGTTAAAATCATGGGACTTTGATAGTGAGTATTTTTTATTTTCACACATACATCTTGTTTCTTTTTTAATGTATTGTTTTTCATCATTTTAACATCTGACAAATTGCTGTTAGTGTAAATCAAAACAGAAAAAATACACGTCAAATTCATAACAGTTGTAGCAACTATACAAGTTGATAGACTGTCACTTGAAGCACACAAAGGCTCTGACTAAACAAATAGGCTAAGCCAACCTAAAGTTTTGCTAACCCTGGAAGGATCAGTCCTACCTACTTCCAACTGGGCTCAAGTATCCATCTTGGCAGAAGACACTAGAATGCCATCCAGAATGTTTTTGATTGTTTTTCTGTTTTGTATTGTTTTGTTTTTTAATTTTCAACTAAGCAAGTCACCACACTACATAAATTACACTACAATACCACCCAAGCTCAGCAGCTGCATTATTGAGAGATTACAAATTACTCAAAGAAAGCTTTTATCCTTCTTATCCCTCCACCTCACCAAAGCTCTCCCACAATCGGTCCCTTCAGTAGGTGAAATTTTACAAGATTCCTACTATCATGTATCTTCTGATCAGCAAACAACAGAAACCATTACAGAAGAACTTGGGATGCTCTGCACTGGTACCGTAGGTACCTAGATTAATGATACCGAGCTGCTACTTCCAATAATTGCTGACCTTGTAAGACCCCGCTGATATAGTCTAGATAAAGTAAGAAAGTTAGCTGCATAAAACTAGCTGTCAACTAATAAGCAAAACTTCACTCAGAAATCTGTATAAGCAGTGAAAACTTTAGTAAGTACCTGCCCACTGGCAGTACTTTAGCTATATAATGGCTTCCAGAAATCACTGGCGGCATTTTATTACCTGATTTGCAAGAACTCAATGACCCACTTCATGATCCAGATGTACATGTGACCATAGACTCTGCTTGTTATCTCAAAAACCGATTGGGACATTTCTCCTCCCTGACACCACTGGGGAATTGCAGAAGTTAGAACTCCTCAGAGGCACCAAGACCCCTCACCTCATCACTTTGCATTAACTGGCTGTTGAGCCCTCCTTTCCCTTCTACAACTTCTTTATAAAGGGTACGACTCTCTATGTCTTCAACTTCTGTTCTAGAGTTTCCTTTTAATTAATCTAACATCAGCATGTGATACTCCACAGAAGAAATCTCCATCAAAATCTGTCCTATGTCCATTGCCTTAACCTTCAATGTCTCCTGGCTAAAATAAACAATTTGTTAATTTTTATTCTTCTGATGAAGCTAAAGTATCCAGTGCAGTACAGCAGATATTATTATTGGTGTGCAGCAGTGATGATTTAGTAGACAACCTATTACAATGCCAAGAACAGCTAAAAGAAAAGTCCATTGGAGAAGCTGAGCTATTACGTAAGGAACATTAATATTATTTTCTCATATACATCACAAAATATCAAACTTATGATTGTCAATTTGGTTACAGCATGAAAATAATAATAGAAAAAGAACAAAACCATCTTCTCACAAATATAAGAAGTTATATGTCCTATTAGACATGCCAATATTTACCCTTAGCATTCATAAATGCATTCTTAAGCACATATACAATTATCATTGTTAAAAGTGCACTCTTTTTAATTATAATGACGCACCTGAAGTCAAATAAAAGATGACAGGTTACTTGGAGCATTCCCGTGATTCCCACTGCATATAGTGCGACCGAAGCACTTGCTTAAGAAACCAGTGTATTTGAAGCACTTGAGACCTGACATAACAAACCTAAACCAGTAATGACTTATTGCCTTTGATGGCATCACATCTTAATATTAATAGCACATTGCTCATATTTGGGCTCTTTTTACTCCTTTTAATGTATTGTTAAATTTGGATTTCAACTAGCTGGTATTAATGGATCAAACTTCAATTATCAAATCAATTACAAGTAATATAATTAAAGAAAATTAAGTTACGTCTGAACTTTTTCCCAAAACATTTTATGGGCCCTCTTGTTTTCTTGGCCATTTGTTTTTAATGTGTAGCTAGTGAATGGGGGTTTTATGTTTCACTCTAAGAAACGCCGTCTTCCAAGAGCTCAGCCAGAAGGGTCCATTTCAAAAGAGCTCATTGCAGCCAGTTGGCTTTGCCAGTGACATATTTA